ACTACTTGTTAATATTTAAAAAATAAGATTAAACATAATGTTATATGCGTAACATCTGATTATTTGAACAAACTTGTTAATATTTAAAAAATGAAATTAAACATAATGTTATATGCGTAACATCCGATTATTTGAACAAACTTATTATTATTAATATTAATAAAATTAATCAAAATCATTGAAAACAATGTTTATTCGTTATATACATATGTACATGAGAATTTGATTAATTTTGTCATTTCTTAAAAAAAAAAATCTCTTCAAAGCGAAACATAATTTGAGAACAACGTTGCATCGTGTTAATATATAATGATATATATTGCAAGATAATTTAAATTATTATCAATACTACATTTCATTTCTATGTCTTATCATCATATTCAACGTGTACAAATTAAAGAATTCTTCCGAATAAATATTTATAAAGTTTAGATATACGATTATATGTGATTACATATTTGATAATTATAAAATAAATTTTTATAAAAAAAAAACGAATGTAATTAATTTTCCAACTTAATTACATTCAAATATAAACCTGTTATTGGCATTAAAAGAGACGTAAACGGATTAACTTTGTAAGGAATTAACGTTTTATTGCAAACGTGGACCTCGAAATTACGAAGAATCTTTATTAATCCAATCTTTATTTGGTATATCGCAAATCGTGCACCTGAAAACCGAAAATATTAGAGTTAAATATATTGAAATATATATATAGAAACTACTTAATGTATGCATACGTTATCATGCATTTAATATATCTATTATATTAATATATAATTATATAATTATATTAATATATATTATATTAATATACTTTTATAAATCATGATTTATTGCAATATTAACAAGACTTTGACGATATCTGTATAACAATATTGAGAAAAAAGATATCTCGATTTTATCATATGACAACATAATAACATAAGATAAAAAAATTTATGATTTTATTCTTAAAGGAAATATTTATAGTATTATTTATAGCTATTTATAATGAATATTTATTTATACTTAATAAATATTTTTGTACATCAATTTTATATATTTATTTTAATCTAATCTAATGTTAATTTGAAAATAATTTTTTTTAAATTAATAATTATATTTTTCTCGCATACTTGATTAAGAGTTATTAAATTTATTTATCATTCATTTGATAAAGTTTAATGAATAAAAAAAAAATCTGCAAAGTAAATTTTTTTTTCACGTTTGTCGCATAGCAGAGAGAGGGGCGGAGGGGGGGATTTTACAGAAATTGTTGCAAAAGTCATTTTGGGAGAATTGTTTGTAATCAAATAATTAATTTTTGTCACATACCAATGCAATTTCTTGGTCCGTGTCCAAAAGGTAAAAAATGCATAGGATGTCTTTGTTTTACCTTATCCTCTGAAAATCTTTCAGGATCGAATTTTTCTGGATCTGGATATATATCTGGATCGTGGTGAATTCCATAAATCGGTATCCAGATCTTTAAATCTTTGGGAATTGTTATTTTATTATTTTCGAAAGTATAATCGTCAATTAATTCTCTATTCAAAAATGGCAAAGATGGATATTTTCTCAAAGTTTCTGAAAACGAGAATTAGAGTTGACGTAAAAACAATGTTTCGATTCGAAAAATTAAAAATCGAGATATTTATTGTTAAATTTAAATCTTAAATATAATTCGATCGAAATATCGCGGCATCTCACCTTGAAAAACTTTTTCCAAGTACTTCATTTCTTTTATGGTCTCATATCTCCACTCTCCATTATTTTTCGCCTCGAATTCTTTGATTTCTTTTCGCAGCTTCTCCTGGATATCGGGATTCAAAGCTAATTCGTAAAGGGCATTGCTAATTGTTGACGAAGAAGTTTCGAAGCCGGCAGCGAAGAAAATGAAAATTTGAGATGCTAATAAATCGTTCGTTAACTCTGAAAAAAAAGAAAATGTCGCATTATCGTATATATAATTTTATAAAACAACATAATTCACAAATGAAACGCAAGAAAAGATGTTGGTGGACCTGGATAACTCATTTTATAAAATAAAATTTACTTTCAAGATTTTAATATATAATTATAAACGATTAATATTATTAATATAACATATGGATAATTCATTTTATAAAAATGTAAAAATTTATTTTCAAAATTTTATATATATAATAAATATTTATATATATTATATATAATCTTGATTTCAATTTTAAACGACTATTAATATACTAACCAATATCAATCTTTTCTGGATGTTTCTTGAGGTCTAATAGTATATTTATAAAATCAGGTCTGAAAACATTGTTCTGTTCTCTGTATTCCATTGTCTCGGTCATAAGTTTCATGATGATTCTCATTTTCTCGTCTTGGCGGAATATATAAAGAAATAAATTATACAGCCGTGGCAACATATCTTGCATCCTGATGCTTAATATCTTTCGCAAATTTGTGGCGAAGATTAATTTGCCGAGTCGACGGAATATACTCTCTTTTTCCGAAAGGGAGTTCATCTCTATCCCAAAAGCGCAACTTCCAACGACATCGGTAGTGAATCTGGCAGAAACTTCTCTCATATCAATGGGCTCTCTTTTCTTTATCAACGTGTCCATGTAACTTTCCAATTGATTGGAGCACTCGAGAATCAGGGAAAACATTCCTTTAAGTTTACTGGAAGTAAATAACGGCGTAAATTGTGTTCTCAACGGTTTCCATCTTTCAGCCTCTAAATTGAAGAGATGATGAGTCAATGGATCTCGCTATAACGATCGAACATATTAAAAAGAAAGATTATTTATTCATTTATTTAATCACTTTTTTTTTTATTTTAGAATAGGAGAATTTAAAATATTTTATATATTATAATTATATGGAATAAGTTGGATAATAAGTGTAATAATGAAAACAAAAATTTGTGAAAATGAAAATGAAATATTAATATAAGTGAGATATGATAAATGGAAAACGAATTTTCCATTTAAAATTTATGAAAACAGATTAATTTAGATTCTGTATTATGTAAATAGATAAAGTGTTGATTCATAATAGCTACATATTTTTTATTATGATAAATGAAATGTTAAAATTGTGAAAAGTTGAAGAAACTTTGAAGAAACGTTGCTTAATTTATTTATCTTTTTAAAATCATATAAGAAAATCGTGAAACGGAATTATTTTTCATTCGTTTATAAATACTTACTGAGAAAATTGGAAATAATCCTCGATTCGCAAACTTGGGGAATTCTTTGATCAAGAGAGTTTTTATAAGATCTGGATCTTTGATGATTAAAGAAGGTGTTCTTAGTTTAAATATTCCAATCATCGGCTCGTTCTTATATTCGTTGTACATTCTTGTGAGAAATTGTGAAATCGATTCCTTTCCAAATATTACTTTTTTCGTATTGCCGAATCCCAACATGGGTTTTGGTCCAGGTATTCCACGATTTTTCCAAAAATTGTTATTGATCGTTAAATAACAATAGAACGCGATAAGCGTTATCACTATTCCACAAAGAATTTCCAAACTAATATACATTTCTCTTTTTTTTTTTNTCACTTTTTATGTTTCAATTGCAATTCGAACAATTAATTTGCTGCAAAGTATA